CTCATGCTCGCTCTATCTCATTCTCTCTCTCAAATAAATAAATAAAATCTTTAAAAAAATAAAAGAAAAAAATTTAAAAAAATAAAAATAAAAAAATAAATTTGTGAGCAAAATGTATATTTAAAAATCATGAGTAATTAGTCCCATTTAAGAAGGAAAATATTAAAATCTCATAATATGTCAAGGATTAAAAATTTTACTTCTTTCAGGTAAAGTCCAGACTGCCAAGTTAAAATTTGAAGCATATAAGTCATTAATGGAATTTGTTTTTAGTATTATGATTAAAGTAAAATTTGATACTAATAAAGGTTTCCTTGATCATTTTTTATGCATATCTTCCATAAAATTTATTTCAGAACACACAATTAAACCAAAAGAAGAAACAGAACAAGAACACAGATCTCCAGATTTTTCAGGAAAAACCACTTCTTTATCATTTATTCTGTACAGAGACCACCCACACTGGGTGGTAAAATACAAGAAATAAAATAAAATGTTATGTGTTTCTTCTTTTAGGGGCTGATGTTATCAATTTTGATGGCAACGTTGTGTTACCATATAGATTCAGAAACAAGAAGATGAAAACACTGAAAGATGTCATTGCCTTGAAATTTAAAACCTCTGAAAGTGAAGGAGTGATCTTGCATGGGGAAGGACAGCAAGGGGATTACATTACCCTGGAACTGAAAAAAGCCAAGTTGGTCTTCAGCTTAAACCTAGGTATGTTCTGACTTTTGACACCATTCTGTCCATTTATTAATCTTCCCATTAGTAAAATGCTGATGCTTAATCCTTAAAGTGTAAATTATAAAAAAGCAGTTCTCGTTATGTTATTAAATCATCTTTAATCCATAGTGGTTTAATCCATTTTAATCCATATATACTTAGTCATTAAAAAATAATTGTTATGTACTCATCCTAAGCAAGGTACTATACTAGCAACTGAGATGCAGTAGTGAACAAATAGAGAAGGTCCTTGAGTTCATGAAATTTATGACCTAGTGGAGGAGTCAGACAATATATTATCTATTATTATTTTAAAACAGCTAAATCAAAAGCAATGACTTCAAATAATGATAGGTAGTATGAAATCAATTAAATAAACTAAAATGATAAAGGATACTGCAGAGACAAGAAGGGTCCACATTAGAGTATGTATTGAGGAACATTCTCCCCGAGAAGATACACAAGCTGAGATTTTAGGACTGAAATTAGCCATGAGAATATTAGGGAGGAGAGCATTGCAAGGTAGCAGTCACTACTGACAAAAATCTGGCATGCTCAAGGAATAGGAAGGAGGCTGGTGTGGGTAGATGAAGTGAGTCAGTGGGAGAGAAGACAAGATCTGAAAGTTGGGGATTGTTCAAGTCCTGTAAGATCCTGTACGGCATGGTAAAGGTTTATTATTATTTAAGAAAGAGAAGCTGTTGGTAGGCTTTAAACTATATGGCATCACGATCTTATTATTTTATTTTTATAAAGGTTTTTATTTATTTGACAGAGAGATAGAGAGCACAAGTAGGCAGAGTGGCAGTCGGAGAGAGAGAAGCAGGCTTCCCGCTGAGCAGGGAACCCGACACGGGGCTCGATCCCAGGACCCTGGGATCATGACCCGAGCTGAAGGCAGCTGCCCAACCAACTGAGCCACCCAGGCGCCCCATCACGATCTTATTTTTAAAAGTATACTGAGAGTCCTGTGAAAGAAGATGTTTGCATTTGCATGGGAGTCAAAGCCAGACTTCTGTATAAGGCAAGGGAGAGATGGCCCTGGCTTGCAGAGGTGGCTGTCAGTGGAGATGCAGGAAGTAGGTCTAGTTAGGAGGTGATTTTAGTGGTAAGTTCAGCATGATTTGTAATGAGAAAGAACGAGAATAAGTGAAGGATAATTCCTAGACACCTAAGGGACTTAAGTGCCATTTTCAGAAGTAGAGGCGACTCTATAGTTTCTCTACAGAGTTTCTTCTAACAAAGGATTATTAGTTTCCTCTAATAAGAGGAGGTCTAAAATGGACATGGTGTATTTTAGTTGCTTATTAGACATCAGAATTGAGATTTCTATTAGGGAGTTACGTGTATGAATGAGATTGAGAGGTGTTACCTGGAGACTGAGGGGAATAGGCAGTGAGCAGGAGGTATCAGAGACCAGGGAAAGAAAAAAGGCCGCTATTGTGTTGAATTCACCTAAGATGGAAACAGGCAGGTGACTGTTGGCTTAGGCCCCGTAGAGGTTACAGTCGATTTTCCCTCAGTGGAATAGAAAGGACAGTAGTTTTATTGACATAGGTTAAGAAAAGACGAGAAATGTGGAACTGAATTTTTTAAACAAAATATAACTAGAAATCAGATAATCATGAATCAGAGAAATAAAATATTGACTGGAAAATAGTTCCTGTTTTGTTTTGGGTTTTTGTTGTTTTTAAGCATTTTTAAGTCTCTTGCTTGGCTAAAAATTTCAGGATTTATGCAAGAAGTTTTTGGAGGGCATCGCACATTCCATAAATTTTTCTGTTGTAAATAATAACAGATGGGCACCTGGGTGGCTCAGTCGTTAAGCGTTGGCCTTCGGCTCAGGTCATGATCCCGGAGTCCTGGGATCGAGTCCCACATTGGGCTCCCTGCTCGGCGGGAAGCCTGCTTCTCCTTCTCCCACTCCCCCTGCTTGTGTTCCTGCTCTTGCTATCTCTGTCTCTGTCAAATAAATAAAATCTTTAAAAAATAATAAAACAGAATTCTACAAAAATATTATATCTAAAATATATTAATAGCTAAAGTTCATATGTTAAATGTATCCCAGTACAAAGCTACAAAACTAAAGATAAGAACACAAAAACAGATCCTGCATTTTTGACTTGCTTATCAGTCTGAGTGGTCTCCAGACATTCTAGAATAATGGCTTGTGTTCTACATATTAAATTTATTACTTTGAAAATCAGTATTATACTAAAAAGTATAGTTTCAATTAGTTTTTTGTTGTTGGTAATACTTGATACAGTGTCTATAAAGATTTACCCTTTATTATAAAACTTTCCTCATTTCAAATCTGATCTGATGGAAATAATAGCTTCTATAAGAAAAAAATGAAGATCACACAAAAAGCTGGATCACTTAATTACACAAAAATATTGAATTCTTTACATTAAATAAAATCATAATGCATGTGAAACTTGAAAAATGCAAATGTCAAATATGGAAGTTTAGGGTCATTCATGAATAAGAATTTATACCACTCCCTAAGAATACCAAGACTTTAAGAGAAAATGTAGGCATAGGGCATAAAAGGTAATGCATAGAAGAAAAATTGTAAGTATTCTGTAAACATCAAATGCTCAACTGCACTATATATAAAATAAATGCACAATAAAATAGTGATTCTAATTTTAAGTAAATCAATTTAAAAATAATATTAATATTGATGAGTATGTGACAAGATTCTTTGTACTGCTCTTTGCATCAGGAAATATTTTCAGGAAAACAGTTTGATAGTGTCTTCAGATATCTAAAAAATGCCTATATGTTTTGGTCCAGTAAACATAAGGAAATAATGAGAAATGGGTATAGGATTTAATTCCAAGGATGTACTTGGCAGTATTGATTACAATGTCAAAAAATGGAAAAAAAAAGCTAAACATATAGAAATATGTTGATATGCATTTAAAATGTCTATGAATAATTTTAATTCTATAGAAAGTACTATAAAACATTAAAACTGTAGTATAAAATATTATAAATAATATTTCAATATTTTTATATTGATTATATACACACACATAAGGGTATATGTATATAATTAAATATATGTATAGGAAAAAAAAACTGGAAGGAAATAGACCAAACTATGTTTAGTGGTGGAAATGAGTGATTAATGTTGTACATATTAATTCTTTATAATATCCTCTACTTATAATTATGTACATGTATTTGTGTATTGCCTGGGGAAAAAATAGCCCTAAATCATTTTTGAATGATTCTTAGTAGAAGATAAGGAGAAATAGGCGCTTAGGGGATAAGTATCAGAAAACAAAATGTAAATACTTTTTAAAAATATGCACACACACTCAGAGCAATTGAATTATATCTAAGGATGTTTACTTTCTCAAACCTTTTCCTTTTTCTTTTTTTTTTAAGTGAAACACAAAGAGGAACCTTTTAAAAGCCACTGTGCTTTATGTAGGCATGACATTACTGTTTTGAAACTAGTACCTGATCCTCTGACCTCACAGAAAGATCATTACCATTTCACTGGAAAGCAGTTTACTTACAGAGTTTTATTGACTGATTGGAATTTATGACAGTCATGGAAATGCACTCACTCATATGTCCACTGTGCCTTTTTAATGCCATTACCTAAATATCAGGCATCTCTAGCTGCTACTCAGTCTTCTAGTCATTTAAAGTAATTTAGAGTAATGAAATAGAGTGTATCCTTTCACTTAGACTTATTCTGACTTTTCTTTCTCTCTCTCTGCCCCACTGCCACATGTACACATAGTTATAATCACAGTCCCAGTCATAGCACATTTGGTTTCATCACCAGAAGGAAAGAAAATCTGATCCAGGAAAGATACAGAAAATGTCAGGTATAGGCATCATTATCATCCTAAATGTGAAAAAAGAAAAGAGGAAATAATTCAATGATCTAATCAATTGTGTGTTTCTCCTATTTCTATTATACTATTTATTCTGAAACCATGTTGTATTTTTATAGCACTTAGTTTTACCTGGCCATGAAAAGCAGTACTTGATTAGACAAAATAGAAGATAGTATAAAACATGTAAACAGTATCCAGAGATGACCTTAGTAAACATTTTGGATTCTCACAAACTTTCACTCTCAGTTATAGTCTTGTTGCCATGGAAATCTACTTTCAAAGCTAGATTAATGCTACATACATATTTTTGCAAGTATATTTTATTTTAAAATATAACTTGAGTTAATTTTCCATACCATTAAATATTACATTGTGGTTAAAATTATTGCTTTTGGAGTCAGTGAAAACTGGAAAGTGTCACGCTGTGTTTTCTTGACCAATAATAAAAATAACAGCAACAATAAAAGACTGTTAACAGGTAACATTTAGCTAATGTTCACTATATGCCAAGAAGTTGATTAAGTTCCTTGCATGCGCTAATTACTTTAATCATCATAGCAACCTTGTAAAGCTGGTATTTTCTCCATTTTCTGTATGAGGCAGCACTGGTGCAGAGAAGCTGCCAGCTTGCCTAGGATCATAGGGCAAGCCAGTGGGGGAGCCAGCATGAGAAACCAGGCACTGGACTCCGGAGCCATGGGGCACCAGCTTTGTAAGATGTATCAAATTTATCAGAATTCATGGCACATTAAAAAAAAAACTCATATTCTTTTTTCTTTTTAAAGGAAGGGTTTTCCATCTTTAATAGCTTTTATGTATTTTGAATATCAAACTGTTGTTAAGTATAGTTACATGCTGGTTTCCCCATGCTAGCATCAGTGGATAGGACTTGAGTGGTGTACCAGCCCATGGCTGTGATGGAAGGTTGGCAGCTACACAGAGTAACTGTGGTGTCACTGCTTCGTTTCTGTTCATTCCATGACTCAGGAAGCAATCAGCTTGGCCCCATCTATGGCCACACGTCCGTGATGACTGGAAGTCTGCTGGATGACCACCACTGGCACTCTGTGGTCATTGAGCGCCAGGGCCGGAGCATTAACCTCACCCTGGACAGGGGCATGCAGCACTTCCGCACCAACGGAGAGTTCGACTACCTGGACCTGGACTATGAGGTGGGCTGGAGGACGCGTCCATTGTGCTCCATCTTGAGTGGCTGCCTCAGTCTCCTACTGCATCTTTGTGTTCTTGTCAGTCACATACCTGCCTGCTCCATTCGTTTTATTCCCCAAAGAAAAATTATCTTTCAGCTTCAGGGCCTAATATATTAATACTGTCATTTTATTCATTTCTAAATTTGTAATTTTGAGTATTTGAAATATTTTAAAAATCTTGGTACCAAAGTAATAATTTAAAGGAGACAGACCATTTATCATGTCATCAGGGCAATTTAGTAAGTCCAGAAAAACTGTAAGTTGTAATCTTTCCATTGGTAATTAATTATGATATAAATCACCTATTATTCTTGAGGATAGACAATATACTATAAACACAGGATTGCTTAATATTTACTACAAAATATTGACTAAGAAATCCTGAGTTCTGATTTATATTAAGTCATTTATGACTTCATGACTATAGATAGTTCTTTTGTCAGGTTCTATTTTCTCAGATATAATTATCATAGAAGAAACAAAATATAGACTATTTTAAGAGGTTGTCCATAAATAGGACATATTTTATCCTCTAAATGATCACAGATCAAAAAAAAATCGTATTGGTCCCATAAAAACTGTATATTCCCATATTATACAGGTACGCTGAAATTTCAGGTTTTTTAATAAATTATTTAGAGAGCGGTTCAACCTTAAAATGCCCACCAAAAATGTTAATCATATATAGAGATAAGAGTTCTGTAAGATGTTCAACACAGTGTTATAATTCCAAGAGAAAAGGGATAACACTAAATAAATTGGATGAAATATTATTCAGCAAAGTTTCCAAACTTTCTTACTTCAAGGAACCCTCAGTGTGTTACTAATTTTTCCACAGCTGTCCTAGGCCATTCTATATTAGTTAGAGCCAGACAACTTAATGTTTATGTCCTAACAACTCAGTAGCCATTTGAAAAAAAAAAAATACAGATAAAAGAAATGAAAAAAAATTTATTTAATTATTAAAACAACAGTGATTACTTGCTAATGGGATGAGTGTCCCTGCATGGTACAACTCCTCAGATTTTGGAATCGGATTTGACTGCCATCTTCATCTTCTGTTCCACTTTTACTTTCATGTGACACTTTTTATGAGAGAGAAATGATAAAAAACCCACCTTCACTAGGACAGGAAATCATCAAAAGCAGGGTAGCAGGATGTTGGAATGGTGAACTAGCTCAAGCTAGTGTTTCACGTAATGCCCAGAACATGTCAAATATTGCTGTATATCCTTTAAAAATAGAAGGTGTATGGTGGCTGCGACCCTATGAGTTTTCTGTGCCAACTCAGTGTGCCTTGTCCCCAGTTTTGAAATTATTTGTATATATACACACATACATATATATATTAATCAGTATCTATATATAAATTTTTAAAAATGTGAAATATGCCCACCATAAGATAATTTACAACTGTGTTATTTTCTTTTATATATTTAAATCGTTTCTAAATTTTCTGTGAGATGAATATATTACATATATTCCTAAATAGGAATTTAAAATAGATTATGCTATGTAAACCCTGATATTGAGACTTTATTAATGTTAAAATAAATTTAAGATTATCAGAAAATAACTGTACCCCCCCAAAAAAACTTCTTAAAGCAAAATGATTGTTGCAAGGGAAAGAATATGAAAATCCCAGAAGTTTTATTTTTTCTAAATTAGTACATTTCTTGGCTTAGGTGGCTTATCTCCCACTGTATGAGAGAATGTAAAGATGAATTATTCATCCTCAATTAATAAACTTTGAAGTACTGTAGAGGAGATGAGAGATCCTGGAACATTAGTAATGGGCAAACACAATTCCAATTTTCAAAAAACAGAATTAAAAATTTGGGGTCATAGACTGTATTGAGTTTGTGATGAAATTCATGAATATTCATGCACACACTCAGGGTCAGCAGTTTCAGGCACACCTTGAAGCCCATGAATATACATACCATCTCTGAGAACCTCAGCTAGAGATGACAACACCTGAGACATATTAGAGAGAGACACTAGGAAGAAATTCAAATTTATTGATAAAGAATCCTGAGTCCGTTGAGTTGAGTCTCTCAGTGTTTTCACACGTACCTCTCTGACTGATCCATATAGTAACTAGACTCAGACCCCAAAGGAGGCTTGTTATGAATAACTGAAGACATTCCTACCACTCAGGACATTCCAAGGGTTTTAGGAGCTCTGTGCCTGGAACTGGGAACAAATACCAAATATATTTATTATACCACATCATGATAGGGTATTCCCATCATATATAGATAAAATGAACATAACTAATCTCAAGAATATACATAATAATAAAAATATAAAGATGAGTTCTTAGTAGCTACTAATTTGTTTCATGTAATTTAAAACTATATAATTTAATTTTTAGCAATGGCTCTGTGGAATAGTCAGTTCTCATGAGCTAGTATGAGCAGATTCAGCACACTATAGGGGTAAATTAATACCTATCACTATTCCCAGAGATGTACATCATGAAAGAAGCAGTAGAAAACAAGCTTGCTCCATTGAGCAACTCAGTGTGGGCATTTTTTGTGGAAGGTGGCTAAGAGTTCACCTTATCACCTCCCGGAGCCCAATTATACTGCAAAGTGTGCCAAACGCCATGGGCAGGCAAGCTACTAGCCGCATGGTGCCCTGAGAAGGGTACAAAGGTAAACAGATACATATCCTTCTTCTCAACCAAAGGGCAGGACCACACACTGATGTTTGGCCTGGCTTCTCTCTTTTCTTCAGCTAAATTCCAGGATAGACCCTGTGGATGTCACGCCATTGCCTTTGCAATACCTTTCTGCTTGGGAGGGGGAAGAATGAATGCCCCTTGCTAGTTGTAGAACTAGGCTAGGATTTTAGAGAAAGACCAGCTAGGATTTTGTAGAGAATTAATTGCATGGCTCAAGCTGGAACAGAAGTCCTGGGTTGAGTCCCCTTTTGCTCCTTACTGGTTGTGTGACAGTGGACACATCATAGTCCCCTTTTGGAAAATTAATGTAATAGCACATTTGTCATAGCATTATTATATGAGGAGGCAATAGGAAGTAATAGAAGTCACTATATGTATCAGTTCCATATTAATCAGTTATGATTAATTAGACTGCATGTAACAGATGCTTGTTTATTCTCCTCCATATAAAAGGTAATTGTAGGCAGGGAGCCCTGGGCTCAAGTGGCAGCATCATGGTTAGTAGGACTCCAGTCTCCTTTTACCTTGCTGCTATTCCAGCCCCATTGCGAATCATCCAAGGTGACTGTTCACATTCCGTTTTGCATTCCAGTGGGAAGGAAGAGTAAAGAAGGTTGTGCTCCCTTCCCCTTTTAATTATAGGTTTTGGAGTCACACAGTCTTACTACTTTAATCTCTAAGACCAAAACTTGATTCAAAGAGGTTGGTAAATGCCATATATTGGCTGCAGTGTGCACAGCTGAAAAGCATTCTTGTTTTCCTAAAGAAGGTAGGGAGAAAGGACACTTAGAAGTATCTACCATCTCTGCCACATTTTGTGAACTCTTGGTAGCTAACAAAATGGTCAATGTGGTTATTTGGTTTAAGAGTCAGGGTTGTTATTGAATGATAATATCATTAATAAGCCAGTCATATGAGTTATATGACTATTTGATGAATAATCTAACAATTGCAACATTTTTTTTTTTTACTTTCTGAATAATTATAATATCAGAAAATATTTTGTGGTCCAGGCACTTCATTTTACTGATGAGAATACGTAATCAGAAGAAGTGGCAACCTAGTATCATAGGATTAGTTACATTAGGAATTGGGATTTGAACCCACATCTCTTAGTTGTACGGAAATCTGGTAAATTGAGCTCGTGTTGCTTCACTAGGGCACCTCTGAGGATGACATAGGATATGTGCTGAGGTTTGCTGAAAGCAGAGAAACCATAGGAGTGTTTAATCATCATCCCAATGGCATGTGGAAAAATAATGAGACAATATGTTTAAACTGGTATTTAGTAATAATGTCAAACTGTGATGCTGCCTGTTGTTAAGCATAGATTTTTATTACCATCAATTGGGAAAGAATTGGTAAAATAAACTGTAGACAAGAAATATAACACTCCACATAATTATCAATAATTGTTACCTTTGGTATTAGGTATACTTATTTAGTTCCTAATAAGTTCATTTTAGTGCCACTTGAAACTATTGCCACTTGAAAAAAAATTGTACTATTTTAGATTACTGTATAATTTTCCTTTTGTCATTTCTTAATTCTTTTCTATGTATTTATTCTCAGTTTTCCCTTCTTTCATATATAAACTCTATGGTAAATGATACATATTCAACTAACCATTATTAACAAATTTTATTTTAAGTGAGGTCTTTTGTTTTTTTATATTGTCTCATAAACTATCATTAATTTGTGCTTTTTTTCTGCAAAAACTAAGCATCTAAAATACCATGACACTAAATAAAAGAACATAAATTGTTAATGGCCTCCTAGAACACAAAGATCTGTGCCTTATGTTTCAAATATGAAACGCCTTACTGGTTGGAGTCTTAACATGTCTCAAAAATGTCTTAACTATTGCTTTCATTTTCAAAGCTTTATCAAAGTTGATAATGGTAACATTGAATAATAATTAAAAGAGAAATAACATCTGGATTATATATCTTGGTATTGCAGCTCTGGTTAGTATTTAGATTTATTTACCACTAATTCACTATTAGCAGTAAATGTCATTATGGCAATATGTATATTAAGTATAATTTTATATTATAGGAAATTGACACTTTAGTACTGTAATTTGGCCAAAGATACAAGGAAAAAGACATACTCTCTTTTTATAGGTGGTAGTAGCCAGAGAATCACAGTAAAGGGTGCATCCACCTTATTCTTTAGGATTCAGAAGACCTATAATATCTCTAAGCCTGTAGTGCTAAAGTAACAGTCCCCATCTCCTAATATGTTCTTCAAATATATAGTAATGAGACTTTTTGAACTATTTTCTGCATTAAAAATAAGTCTAGTGAATATTTGACTTCAATAGTCATTTAGATTAAAGTAAGTCTACATAGTACATAGGGTTTATCATTGTATTACATTAGTACTGGTTACCTCATGATGACTAGAAGCATTTATTAGTAGTATGTCTTTGAATGATAAATGATAAAAATGTGTTTTTAATATTACTTAATAAAAGAAGGTTGCTGTATAAAATCTTTTAAAACATTTCAGGAAAATTTATAAAATGTCTTTGAGTGGCTACAAGAGATTATTGCTATTTTCTTGTTAAAGTTATAATCTGATTCCCATAATTAATAATACTGTTATATACTTCCATAACATAATTTAATATGCAACAGATTTTGGAGGCAGAAAAAAATGTCTGTATATTCTGGGAGAGATCTACAGACCTTGGTTGTATAACTGACCTTGGTTGTATTAATAGTTTTGCCTAATTTATTGTGAATATTTTTTTAAGATGAATACAGTGTGAATGTTACATTTTTTTCTTTTCTCAAAGATAACCTTCGGAGGCATACCTTTCTCTGGGAAGCCAAGTTCCAGCAGTAGAAAGAACTTCAAAGGCTGTATGGAAAGCATTAATTATAATGGTATCAACATAACTGATCTTGCGAGAAGGAAGAAACTAGAGCCCTCAAATGTGGTAAGATTTTTCACTCCAAAATAGTGATTCATAGAAAAATCAAAGAAGTTTTGTTTTTTTCTGGAGTATTGAACAACAACAACATCGTCATAGCATTTTGCCATCATGCTTGTGTTGGGCTCAGCAGTGTAAGACTAACTACAGAATTACCTAAAGAAAGTGTAGATAGTGGATATACTCTGAGAATAAATAATGGTTTTTGAGTTAAATTAGCCTGCAGTAGATAGTAAGTTTAACTTAGATGGGGCACAGGATTTTGACCCAGTGTTTCTGAATTCCCCATATCAAAGGGACATACCTCAGGCATTCCTCAGTGTGTGCTTCATCCCGGCAGTTCAGCAGCCCGTAAACGTTTCCAGATGTCTTATCATATATGAATCTCCATTTCTTGTTTATGATTTAATTCAGTATTTTAAAAGTGTTACATCCAGGAACTTTGCTATATTCATTTCCATGTTTCCAAAGATAATTGATCCAGGTAAGTAAGTAAGTACACTTTTTGTGAAAGCCCTAACCATACTAAGTATAGGCAGTTAAATAAGGATCGACTGCCACTGGCTAGTGAAGGCTGTGACGTAGAACCTAATAGTGATCTTCTTCCGGCTCTGCTGTGAGTCGTTTCCAGCTTTAACTACTTCAAGGAGGAGAGCAAAAATTGAAGAACACTCTAGCATACCTGTCTCCCCATGACACTGTTTAGGATCACTGAAAGATATCAACTGAGAAGTCTAGTGTGTGTTCCCTATGGGTCAGCAAAAAGAGGAGTTAACTTCAACCTACAAGTGTTAGTTGGAAGAGTCTGGGGTTCAAGACCCACATTTGAGAGCCACTGGCAGTAAATAATGTTATGAGTGCTTGCACTGTATTCCAAAAGAGCTCTGATGGTCTCTTGCCCCACATTTGAGCCTAGGGTTTTCACAAAATGATTGGACAAATAGAAATCCCCTCATGGATAAACAGGAGTTCAGGTTGGGTGTGAAAATTATTATGGCATAAAATAATAATTTAATGTGAAATTTTTCTTTATTTTTCTTCAAAATAATGAATTTCTACTGAATAAAAAGTTGAACTTTGAAATTATCTCATAAGTATTGGCTATAGAGACAAATAGTAATAGTTCTATTTATAGGCAGCAGGCACTGTGCTAGGAATGTTACTTTTATGACAATCTGAAATAGTACCACAACATGAGTAGAGATGTTATCATATACATTTTATAGATGCCAAAAAAAAAAAACAAAACACAACCCTGAGACTGCCTGGAAAAATAACTTTCCAAGATGATTGAATGTGAGTGGGTTCACAGTATGTGACCCCCGAGGTCATGGTCTCCTTACATGTTATGTTACTTCTTACCTAGAACAGTATTAATACATACACTCTCTTAAGCTTTGGATAAAATGGCACCAGGGTCCTTTTGTTTTCTCAGAAATCATTGCTTAAGATAAAAAGATACAGAATCCAAATCATCAGAATGTTTTTTGCACCTTTAAGAAGAAATAAAATGTTATTTCTGCCCAAACCTCCCAGTTGGTCCTGATAGGCATTCATTAGGCACCTAAATTATAAAGAATTTTACTACGGAGATTCATTCCCAGAACAACTTTAACTACAAAATATATTGTAGTTATAAATGCTATTTTAGCTTGAATAACAAAGATATTTAGTAAAGCATAAATTATCTATAATTATGTTTGTTGAAATAGAATGAGCAGACATAGGATAAACTTTTAAACAAAAATATATGTACATATTAAAATTTTAGGCAGGATAGAGAAAAGTGGGACATTTTGTAAGCAACTCTGCAAGGACAAATATTTATGAAGGAAATTTGCTTTCAAAGATGTCAGGTTCTGGTATTTCAGTGAAATTGACTCACCATTCATCCTGCATTCATCTCCATGCACACACCCATTCCCTAATATTGGTTCACAACCTCCCGGACAGCTTCCTGAGTGTAACCTGCAACCAGCCCCTGGATACAGAGGGCAGGAAGAGATAGAAGAGACAGACCACCCCACATTGGTAGGTGGCAGGTTTAATAAGCAAGGGAATTTAAGTCTTGTCTTGGGAAGCCACAAGATGAGTACATCTCTGCACCTGCCTGCCAAGTCTTAAAAGTTTATTTAGAGGTCTTACCTGGATTTAGTTATGGATGCAGGAGGCCTTAACCAGTTCAGTACCCAGGTTGGAAAGCCTCAACACCACATCTCTATCTTAAGACTGTATCCTTTGAGTGGGGACCACACATTCTGAGGACAGCGGAGAAGTCTCCAATTGTCCGAGTCCTGCTCCTGGGTTAACTGGCAGTCACAAGTCTTCTTGATGACCTCCTCCAATACCTCATTATTCATTGACTTCTGAGTCAGCACCTTTACTCAGAAAGGACCTTTAATTTTATTGGGAGACGTTCCCCACAACATGGGTATGTGGTCTGTTATAACATCTCAATTATTAGGCAAAGGCAATTCTTTTCATCAGTAAAAGTAAGCAGTTAAAAAATAATTATTTGTGAAGCTACAGTGTAAATTTAGTTTGAATATTAATTCAGAGGGACAGCCTGCCTTAGATGTAATGGTTAATGTGCTGAAATGGAAGAATGATCTGTCTAAACCTAGATATCGTGGTGTTGTGTTGTTGTGAAATAAATAATTGAAGGACCAGATGAAAATGCCAACAAATTATATTCCTCAGAATATTATGGTGGGATAAAAGAAGTTGGAAGCAAACATAGATTTTCAGACCTTTAAAAGGAAGGTACTTACACACTGGAATACAACATTTAGCGTGTCTGAATGGTAAATGAAATTTTTTTTGGTACAAAATAGAGGGAGAGTGAGAAGAAAGAAGAAAGGAATAGACTTCAATTATCACAAACTTGTTTTTATTTTGTACACTCATACTACTATTTTCAGAAGCATTAATTCTTTATAATATATGCACACTTCATAGGAATTTAATATAACAATAATCTGAAATAATCACAATTATGCTGATCCTATATAGTTAATATTAATTCATATATATTAGGTATAGGGATCAAAACCAAGAATATTTGTCCCATAATATCAATTAATAACAACCAAATGACCATAGTTCCCAGTGAGACTAGTAATATATGAATAAACACTTGACATAGGCCATCCAGAAGAGGACGGTGGCATCTCCTCCTTGGCTGAGGCATCATCAGTAATGGGGGAGGGGAGCAGCAGCTTTCTGCCCTCTTTAGAAAGTTCAGTGGTTCACACTCATGTCCACCACACAGGGACACATCCCATCCCATCAGGCTTGTCAGTCTGTCGATTCCGTGACAGATGGTTCTTGTTAATTACTCATCTTGACAGCCAGCTGCTGAGCCCTGTTAGACACACACTCCAAGTAGAGTGATGCCGAGGTGTCCGGGTGCTGAATCCAAATCCTGCTGCTGCCTATGAGAGCTTGGCACAAGCTCAGGCTCTGCACCGACATCCACAGACTGTAGCTTTGTTTGCATTTGTCTCAAAGCGTGCCCTTTTGTTTTCCAGGGAAATTTGAGTTTCTCGTGTGTGGAGCCCTACACAGTGCCTGTCTTTTTCAATGCTACCAGTTACCTGGAGGTGCCAGGACGGCCTAACCAGGACCTGTTTTCAGTCAGTTTCCAGTTCAGGACTTGGAATCCAAACGGTCTCCTGCTTTTCAGTCAGTTTGCAGATAATTTGGGCAATGTGGAAATTGACCTCACTGAAAGCAAAGTTGGTGTTCACATCAACGTCACGCAGACCAAGATGAGCCAAATAGATATTTCCTCAGGTTAGTGCAATCGGTTTCCTGTTTGCTCCTGAAACTGCTATTGTGATTTCCACAGCTGTCATTGCTTTTGTTTTGTTGGTGTTGCGTGCTCGTAGTTATGTTTGGATTCAGACTTGGTGAGATTCTTACTTGGCTGCCCAGAGTACTGACTGAATAAGAGAACCTTGGAAACTGGTTCAGAGGGTGAGGGGTGGAGGAGGAAATGTAGTTGAGACTGTCTCAGAGCACCAAGATCTTCTATTGCTTATACATGCTAGTTCACGTTAATAGGGCAATGGACATTACTCTAAGTGAATATTTTATGTTTACAAAGAATGTCTATTTTACTGACGTAAGAGTGCCTGGTACTAGTTGACTTTATGGACATTCAAATACCTTTTACTATTAGTAGCAAGTATATATTAATTTAATCAAGACTTTAAAGGTATATGCAACTGTTTGAATCAAAACCTCAGAGTGATCTTGCTAAATTTATGCAGATTTTCAAGAAAAACTACAAGGGGTGAGTACAAAGAAGAATGACAAGATGTATGTATCAACTGAGGGAAGACTGACTGTCTTGGCTTAGCGGGTAATTTTTTAAAATTGACCTCACAGTGGTATGATAAACTGAGGCTTGGGTAATATTGTTGTTAATTGAACAAACTTAGCAACCTTGGGATATTCTTTGATTAATATGGTACAAAGAAAGCTGATATCTTATAAACAAAGAAAAATTAGTCATGATGGTGGACTCTTAAATAGTAAAAGTTTTCATCAAATTTCTCTAGATGTTCCTTGCAGTAGATGTTTTTATTTTGTGAAGAACTACTTAGAAATAGAAGACAGAGAAAATTAACATTGACTGAGCAGCTTGTACAAATGTACCAAATACTGAGAGAGGAAGTTCATGACAAAATGCTCAACTGCATGACTGTTGGCTCTGATGTCGAAATATTCCGTGTTCACTCGTGACACCATAGGTATACACCTGACGATGTTTCTAACATGTTACGTTGTCTGTGTCCATGTCATTTCCCTGTGGACTGTCAGGTCTTTGAGGGCAGAGGCTGTGCCTGTTCTGTTCTAGCGTATAGAGTAGCACCTGTTACATTAGAGGTGCTCTGGGAGTGTTTGTGGAGTTAACACTGTGGCCCTTTACACTAGTGTTCACTAACAGAGTATTTCCTGCTGAAGGATATGCGTCCTTTCATAAAATAGATGTTGTGTTTCTGTAGAGCATGGCCATATAGACTATTACTGAGAAGGATTCAAGGAAGATAAAGGGACCATTATATCAGAGGTCTGAATTATTGAAGTCAAAAGCCATTGTGAAATACCTAGATATTTACTTTTTCTGTTTTTGCTTTGTTAGTTTTGCTTTCCCCTGAATGTTTGGAGTCCAAATGATTGATAAACCATATTTTATCACTACTTCCCAGTATAAATTCACCTTGGGAGATTTAGAGCAAATAGAAAATATCTGGAGAGACCAGAAAAACACATAAAACAAACACACATACAAATATTTACCACAGTTGAAAAACATCCCATTAGATTTTATTATGATTAATGATTCTTTTCTAATGACTAAAAACATAAAAATATAAGTATGAAGGCCCCCCTCCCTCCTGACATTCTCTGAACAAACCCAAATTCCTGGTGGTTTTCCATGTAACAGGAACCATTATAATGGAAATAACAGGATCTTAAATATCGAGATCAATAAACATTTCCCTAGTTTAATTTGGTCTAATTTAAGACTCTAAGATACTTCCATCTAATTTAAACTGTGTTTATGAAAAAATAAAAGGAAGAAAGAAGAAAGGAATCCAATATGCAATGACTAATTTACATTAAGAGATTTGCTTAAATATGATAAAATTGGACTTGAGAAATTTTTGTTAATTTAGCCAAGAATCTGTGCAAATTAAGTGAAACTGATAGGAAATTTCAACATGTCGGTAACCTTGATCTTACATATCCCAGTGAAAATACTTTACTGTTCCAAATATTTATTTTTTTTATACACAGAGTGGAAACCACGATCTTATCAGCTCAAGTTTCAGAAAGATTTGTAATATAGATGCACATATATTTTTAAAAAGTTATATCTTATACTCATTTAAACTGTGTTTATTAAAAAATAAAGGAAAGAAAGAACAAAGGAATCCCATATATGACTACATTCATTCATCCATCCTATAAATACAAATGGAGTCCATAGAAGGCAGTTTTCATCTGTATTTAAAGTACTTTACCAAATTCAATTAAAGGTATGAGTAACTTAGTGTAAGTAGCAACAGTGAGAAAATAATTTAGAAAGGTTAAGTTAACTGAGGGCACTAATGTTTGCTTTAACGAAGGAAAATAGTTCTGTATTATGTCTGTCTTCTTTTTGTTTGATTATTATTTTTTATAATAAATGCTACAGAAAGTGAGGAAGGTAACAACTGTCTCCATTGTCTATGAAGAGATGTAAACTTTCCAATTCAGAAAACTTTGAAGGAGCATTTGCTTTTTACAATAGAAACATTTTTTTGGCTCTCTTTATTTTTGTTTTTTAAGATTTTATTTATTTATTTGAGAGAGAGCAAAAGAGAGATCACAGAGAGAGAGGGGGAAGCAGACTCCCTGCTGAGCAGGGAGCCAGATGTGGGGCTCCATCCTAGGACCCTGGGATCATGACCTGAGCCAAAGGCAGATGCTTAACCGACTGAGCCACCCAGGCACCCCTGGCTCTCAGATTCTTAAGAGAGGAAAAATCAAAGGAAATAATTACATGTTTAGCATGCTTTGTTATATGCTGTTTGACCTGGAGTATAAACACCACTGATTTATAAATCACTGAATTGTTGAACAAATGTCTCAGCTTTAGCACCTTTTTGTGAATGCAAGTGTGGATGCTCTTCTCAAAGACCAACAAATTCTTCATGTCTACCTTATTCTTATCAGCAACATAAACATTGAAGTATGTCAGTCCTTTTTTTATTTTATTTTTAAAATAGCTTGGTTGTGAAAATGTAGAAGATACATAAAATTTAGAAAACAAAAGCAGTCACTGCTAGCATTTCTGTGTGCACACACACGCATAAGAAAAACACTGTACGGTAGTGCATCGAGAAGTCATTATAGAGACACTCAGGTACTGTCTGTTAGTACATACTTGTAACTCAGTTTTATTTTTAAAATGTGAATAAGTTCTGTGGTCCAAGATGAAGCTCATTCAAGTGGTTCAAAAGCCTTTTTATTCTGTCTTGGACGACATTGTTCTTTGATGATAAAGTCAAACTAAATCCTGTAAGTTAGTATTCAATATTTTTTTCACCCTCCTTGTATTTTTCCCTCTACGTTCTGGTTGATTTCAGGTCTCATTAGTCTTGACACTGGACTCAACTTGTAAAATTCAGTCAAACTTTGAGTAACCTTGACTTTGCAGAGCAGGTTATCTTTCTGTGAAAATATTTTCCAACATCAACTTTTATAAAACATTCCATTATATTTATTTCTATTTAGAACCATACTTAGTGAGTGGGGAATACAGATTTATGCTTTTCCCTTGGCTCCGAGTAAGTAATAAAAGGGGGGGAAGTGCTAAAAGGAACAGATGGGTAACATGTGTTCATTGAGTATACTGTTTAACATTCATATCGGAACCCTGGAGAAGGTGGGCCTAGAACTGTGTTTTTAAAATTACTTAGGGTTTTTGAAATTTGTTTTTCCAGCTTTTTTGAGGTAGGCTTGACAAATTTAAATTATATATATTTACATGTACAGGTTGTGCAATGTGACTTTTTAAAGTGTATGATAATATATATACACTGTGAAATAATTATCACAATCAAGTTAATTAATGCATCTGTCACCTCACACTTACTTTTGTGTGTATGTGTGTGTGTGTGCACATACACAGTGAGAACACTTAAAATCTATTCTCTTAGCAAATTTCAGGTATACAGTGCAGTATTATTAAGTATAATTACCATGCTATACATTAGATTCCCTGGAACTTTTTCATCTCATAACTGAAAGTTTGTACATTTTGACCAACATTTTCCCATTTTCCCCACCCTCCAGCCTTTGGCAACTATTCTACTCTCTGGTTCAATGAATTTTACTTTTTTTAGGTTTTACATAAAAGTGAGATCATACAGTATTTGCCATTGTGTATCTGGCTTCTGTCACTTAGCATAACATCCTCCAGATTCAAATGATTTTGATAAAAACACAGAAAACATAAGGAAACATTTTATATCGCACTCAATACCTACTGAAACTTACTTTGCTGCTTTAGATGCACTCTTACTGTATGTTTTTTTTTTCTCTTTTTTTCCATTAAATTTTTCATGACCCATCAAATGATTTTATGACCTAAAAACAAGTTGTGACCTACAGTTTGGAAAACATTGACCTACAGTCGGTCTTCTCATTTGAAGAGTTGGAATTTTTTAAAGTTCCAGTTGCTTGGAGGTATTTACACCATCAATACGTTTTGGAAAACTAAATGTATCTTCCAGGAACAATACTGCAATATTATAAAGGTAGTAAAAAAGTATGCATGTGTATTACTGTCTGACGTATAGTCAAAAAAAAAACAAAAACAAAAACAAACTACCCACCATTTGAAATAAGGTTTTTATTGGAAAATTCCTCAATTTTATGTCACTAATGCACAGATGTTTACAATAATACTCTAATGTTGTGGTCTACCCATATTAAGAAGGTCATAAAATGTTTGACTCAGCATTTATATAGTGGAAGGGAAGTGATTTCTATTAATGATCTTTCTTACCTATTGAAAAAAATCAATTTCTATCCATGTAAACAAAGCCTTTTAGAAAAGTCATTCAGAAAATGCACTGCTTCTAAATCAGCTGTTTTCTAGCTGAAGTATTAGAACCTTGTTTTGTTTACATAGATACTGCTTCAAGTTTAGAATGACTTTTCAGCATCTGCACTGCTTCAGAAGCATGTATTCAGTAAAGATCATCTTTGTTTGTATTTCTGTCTCTAAAGAAAAT